AAATGGAACTGAGAAACCATTAAGGAAATGGGTCTTCTGCACGTCCTCATCAGGCAGAACGTGAACTTTTGAACTGAGTCGAGACACAAATATTCAGAGAACATTGCAATTCGTCACAGTGATGGACTTTTGCCTCCCGCTAGCTAGCCTTAGCAATCAATTACATTTAACCAAGATTAGCTTTCTGCCACCAACCCCAATTAACATTCTTTGTAATACAAATCTCGCTTCTGTGCCTTAAAAAAAGCCCCTGACTTTTACTCACTGGCAGGACACTATTTGGGTTTCTACTTCAATCTGTGCTCCCCAACTTGCAATTCTGTCATCCCAAAATAAATGCCTCTCACTTTGACTCTTTATTTTTAGGTTAACACTTGTATTCCAATTTTCCCAAGTCAATACATAACATTAATTTGATCTCAATAAAAATTCCAACAAGATTTCTTTTTTTACTAAAGGTAGAAAATTAGATTCTAAAGTTAATATAGAAAAGTAAATATCCAAGAAGAGATAAGAAAACTGAAAAATGAGAGAAATTGCACAAGAGAACTAATTAACACCCAATATTAAAACAAATTGTACAACCTGTATAACTTAACAATTTGGTACTAGGATATTAATAGTCCATCAATAGAAGATTCTAAAAAACACCAACTAGCTTGGTTTCTTCAAAATATCAACATCATGAATTAGAAAACAGGAACAAAGAAAAAGTTAGTGGGACTGTTCTAGATACAGCTCCTTCCTTCAAGGAGATTAAACAGACATGAAAACCACACAATATGTGATTTCGATTGGATTCTGAATTTTTATAAAAGAACATTTTGGAGACAACTGGGTACATTTGAATATGGACTGAACGTTATACAATGTTATGATATAAATGTTAAATACCTTGGGTGTTAAAAGGATATCATGGTTATGTAAAGAATGCTCTTGGGGGAGTGGGTTGATGCCATGCCAAGTGGTTAAGTTCATATACTCTGCTTTGGTGTCCCAGGCTTCACTGGTTTGGATCCTGGGCATGGATCAACGCACTGCTCACTGAGCCATGCTGTGGCGGCACCCCACATAGAAGAACTAGAATGACTTACAAGTAGAATATACAACTATGTACTGGGGCTTTGGGGAGGAAAAAAAAAAAAAAGAAGAAGATTGGCAACAGAAGTGAGCTCAGGGCCAATCTTCCTCACCGAAAAAAAAGCATACCTTAAAAAAAAAGAATGCTTTTGGTCTGAGAAGATAATGCTGAATTATTTAGGGATAAATTCACTATTCTGCAATGTTAAAAATCTAGCATTTTTTAACAGAAACAACTTTGTCCCTGATGTTTGCTATGGTGACATCTGAAGATATGACAGGATCCTTCAGAATATGACAGTCATGTGTAGTTTTTCCACTATGAACACAATAATGTACACTGAGTAACCTTGGAAATTTTCTTTTCTTTCCTTTTGAGGAAGATTGGCCCTGAGCTAACATCTGTTGACAATCTTTCTCTTTTTGCTTGAGGAAGACTGTTGCGGCACTGACACCTGTACCAATCGTCTTCTATTTTTTTCTTTATGTGGGATGCCACCACAGCATCAAGCTTGACAAGCCGTGCTAGGTCCACACTCAGAGTCTCAACCTGTGAACCTTGGGCAGAGCATACAAACTTAATCACTACACCACCTGGATGGCCCCTTGTTTTTTTTCTTTTAAATGCTTGCTGTGTTCTTTATTTGGTGAGCCTGTCTTTTTAATGTCTAACTCTCTTCCATTTTTGTGAGGAAAATTTTCCTTCCTTCTTCTAAATGATTTTGTCTCTGAATTTTCATTTGACTGAGGTAAGGACTACATATCCCAGAGGCAGGCATATTCTAAATTCCAATGAAGTTGGTGTCAGCAGTGCATTTGAGGCAGCAGCAGCCACTACGCCAACTCAGACAGGGGGAGGGTGTCCACAACACTAGGAAAGTTCCAGACCAAGAGGAACTCAGGCAGATCATCAGTACTAAGTGCAAGAAATCTTCAACAATGGTTTTATGCCAATAATGATGGGCAGCTGAGGAGGTAGGAATTGTTGTAGCTGAGTTCTAGAAGGCTCCAAGGCCAGTTTAATCAACTGATAGTAACGGCATTTGGAGGTACCTTAATTGTTTACAAGTCACAAAGACCAGGAACAATGAAACTAGATATCTTATGGGGTCAGGGCGGCAGGAGAGCAAAGAAAAGTCTCTGTGAAAGAAGATTCAGGAGGTTAGAGGCAGGGCCACAGCAATAATACCTGCTTCCTATGCTATTTCTTGGCTTTAACAGTCCATAAGTGTTAGTGAAAAAATATTAAGGCTGATGCATGTGAGTGTGCAAGTAATATCCTTTAAAAGAGTCCATAGCCATAGTGTTCCGTGGGAAATGAGTTAGTCATTTGCCTTATCATGAGGCTCTGTCTGTCTAGAGAAGGAGGTACCTTCCTGTAGTTTCACAAAGGTGTCATGTGGTTTAAAGGTGACCTTGCAAAAGAGAGTTTCAAGAGCTAAACTAAACAAAATGCAGTTAAGCTCAGAACAGCTATAGATGCAGAACCAACCAGTAGAAGTTTGCCACCGGGGTTAGGTGGATTGTGTCAGGGCTGGCTTCCTGGGAGGTCAACCTGTGCATTCACATTGCACCGGCGCTTGGGAGGACCCTGCACTTGGTTCAACACTCTGCTGTCACCATCTTGAAATTCTTAATAATCTTATCATTGATCTTGTGTTTTATCAATGAAGTATGGCAATGGAGCACACACCCAGGCAAAAGGAATACATGTAACGTGCATGTTTTTGCCACATTTGCATATAGTGGACATGGTGCCCTGCGAGCACAGAATTCCAGTGAACACACGATACATGGGTAGTTCAGCAAGGCTCAAAAGTACAAAATAAGTGTGTTCCCTCTGTGTTTGAGTAAGTGGAGGCACTGACAGCCTTCAGAGGCCACACATGCCTTTTAAACCGGAACTTCCTTTAAACACAGGAAGAAGGCAAAATGTTCTGAGTGGCATCAATGAGCAAGGCATCTTATCATATCCTTTTTACTCATATTACTTCCCTACATCAGCCAACCACTCATGCTGAAAAATGAGGACATGGACAGAAAAGAAATGGATTGGGCAACCCGCAGTTCCTTTTCCTTTCAGTTTGTCCTTCCTCATCAGCAAGCAGAAGGAGAATGTTAGTCGAATATGTGTGTAGCCAGAAGTGAAATAAAAACGAGTTGAGCTAGTTTTGTGCAGCATTTCCACTGTTCTGTTAAGAATGAAATACATACGTATGTATGAGCTAGGAAATACAAATTGTGTAATTTTGGCAATTCCATATATGAGATAAGTGCTTATATTTGCATTTAAAACTGGCTTTGCACAATATGAAGAACAATAAAATTCATGCTAATAATTTAAATTTTTGATTTTTCTTTAATTAGAGCAAAATTAAATGGCAAATAAAAAGCACTATGATGTATCGACAGTCAACGGAGGAAAGACTTTACCTTCTAGTACCTTTCATGGCCCTGCAGCACCTCTCCCGCTGCATTTTGAACAAGGAACTCCACATTTTCCTTTCCCCCTGCCCCTGCCTAAGGCACTGAGCAAGTCAGAGTAGAGAATCCCACACTTTAGGGAGAATGGATCTGACCTGAAAGTAGGAACAATTGTACACTTCCTGTCAGAGAGCTGAAATCTCAAAGGAGTTTGGAAAGAGATACGTATACCCAGGAGTGACAAAATAGCGACCTTGCTTGCAGAATGTAGAAAAAACAAGAATAAACAGGTAAAACCAATCCTTTAAAAATGTGAAACATAACCCTGAGGCAAAAAAATGCATATGAACTTCAGAATTAGGTATTCCTGTCCAAAAACAAACATCAAAACAAAGTAAAAGTCAGATAAAAACAGCAGCAACAACCGAAAAAGCTTAGAAAATTAATAAGCAACCAACAACTTGCGCCAAATATTATAGACAACAAATCATTTACTAAAATTTTGCTACTAAAAGTATGGCTAAAACTACTCTGAATCATAAGTAATATGTTTATGAGAAATATATAAATAATTTGGTCCCATGAGAATAGAACTTTTAATGCTCTCTAGAAGTAGACTTGCAATTTCCTCTTTTTTAAAAATATTACATAACTAAAAAATTTACCTAGCTGTAAAAAAATTTTTTTTAAAAGAGCTACATAACTGTAGGTCGATGAAAATTTGCTATATCAGTGACCTTAAATAAGTTGAAAGGGTCAACCATCTCAGCAGCAAATTGTATAAAATTAGGTTCAGCCAACCAAGACTAATGTCACAGCCAGAAGGGTACATGGGAGGAAATGCCTAGAATGTAAACAAAACTTCCTGCTCCAAAAGAAAAAAAAAGCCATGAGGGAAATCAAACAAATTCAGACTATTGCTTCGGGAAAATAGAATTGCCAACATTTTCCTGAGGGTATCACATATTGCAAGCGCTGAGGCTTGACATTGAGTTCATTGCCCTTGTCTGGTGGGTTGACCAAGGAGTCCTTAAGACCAGGGCAGCAATATTGTATTGGGCTTTAGAGTCAGAAAGGCCCTAATTTTAAAATAGCAGTTTTGTCACTTATCAGCTATGTGAGTTGGAGCAAACAATTTCATCTCTACAGAGCTTGGTTTCTCTAAGTATGAAGTATACTTATATGAAGAGTACTTATCTTTCACGATTGATGTGAACTTTAAACGGGTTAATAGGCATGAAGGACTTAGCCCAGTGGCTAACACAGAATAGATAATCGCTATTATTGATATATGAACATACTTAGTTATTCACACTCATTATTATTATATGTTCATACTCAATAAATAGTTGCTTTTATTGCAAGACTATTGTATATGTAAACAGCATTATAGGATATATCTCATACAGGTAATAGTTCTAAATTGGGAAAATATCTCCCACTGCATGGTTAAGGGCACTGAGATTATACCTTTAAAATCTTTTCCCTTGTTCTAGGCAAATGACCCAGAGGGCAGCATGTTGTGTGAATCAATTAACGTTGGAACACTTCTCACCAAGACAGGCTGCTGAGAGATGACCCCTTCAAATATATGTCAGAAGAAGAACAAGCTTTAATTGATGGAAAAGAAAAAAAAAAAAAACATGAAGAAGAGAGAGAGAGAAATGTAATCCACAGAGAGCTCAATCCCTAGAAAGGCACAGGGGACCTCAAGGAACCTGTGGATTATTGAAGGGACCTGGGGACCTTTAGCAAGATTGTGGTGACAGAGGGGGAGAAGGACAGAAATTTAGAAAAAAGGGGCAAGCAACAGAGTTTTTGAGTTCATCTTTGTTTATTTCAGTTGGATGTGGAATGGACTTGAGAATAAGAATTAAATTTGGCAGAGAAGAGTAAATTTATATTAGAAAAGTGATAGGCTCTATTTTTATCAAAATGGGAATCATGTTTAACCTTTGTTGAGGTTAAAATCCCTTCCTTCCTTCCTTCTTTCCAGTCTTCCTTCCTTCCACTCTTCTTTCCTTCCTTACTTCTATCCTTCCTTCTTTCCTTCCCTTGCCTTCCTTCCTTCCTTACTTTGTTCATTCCTTCCTTCCTTCCATCCTTCTTTTCCACCTTCCTTATATCAAACAGCTAATAAATAGAAGTAATTGTACTAAAAACTGGGCATAAGTAGAAACTACACAGTCCCAACAGTGTAGGAGCACATAGCATGAAAGAGAAAATCAAAGATATAAACAAGCAAAATCTATAGATACAGCATCAAGTAGGGACACAGGGAAGGACTATGGACTATCAAAGTTACTGGGGTGATAAAGAAGGGCTTCGGAGGAAACGATATTCAGGTAACACATTCAAACTGAGTTTTCAATTGTTGTTTGTCACATGGACAAGGGAACAACTGGTATTTCAAGCAGAGAAAGCACCATAAGAAAATTAACTGATGGGTGTCACAGCATGCCACATATGGGAAATACCTGTGTGTAACATGGCTGAGTTTTAGTAGGATGGGGATCAGGTACAAGGATGCTAAAATTAATTGTGTCTTCATCACAGAGGGCTTCATTTGCCAGGCTAATGTGTTTAGAGAAAGAAAAAATTTAATATCAATGATAAAATTTCTGGAAACCTTGGCATCATTCAAAATATGTACTGCCCACTTCTTCTGCCCTAAGTTGTAATAGGCAGACATTTCTTAAGATATAAGGAGAAGTTGCTACTGCAATCTCTTCTCTCAGGCACCTAAATATAGTTACATATAGTACATATGTGTGATGATTTGTCATGTTACCAGTGCTAGAAGTGGCTACAGTAATTATGGGCTGGACTCCATAGAATGAATGGCACATGCAATAAAATTTTCTACGATTCTGTCAGTATTTTGCTATAGCCCAGGACATACACATGTATGGTTGTAGGCTGCTTTCACAGAAACTAGAATTGTTACTTTAGGTAGATGACTTCCAAATTTTATTGAGTTCATGACCAGTAGACCTATAGAGTAACCTATTTTGTCTAGTTACTTAAAGGATATATCTTATACTTAATTCAATCAGACTGTCTCAAAAGGAGACCTGCCATAGTAATATTATAGAAATATTTACATGGCTGGTTTCATTGATTTTTACACATGTGGGTAAAAATAGTCACTAAAAAACAGTTTAGTGGTTACCAGGGGAAGAGGGCTGAAAGGGATGGGCACAAGTGGCGAAGGGGCGCATTTATATGGTGACGGTCAAATAATAATGCACGACTGAAATTTCACAATGGTATACACTATTATGACCTCAATTAAAAGAAAATTTGCTAAAGGTTGTCTGGCCATCACAACAAAGAAGTTGACCATTTTTGATGTTTGACCATTGACAGCCTTTAGATCCCCATCACTCTTCCCTGTCTGCTCCGTATCTGGGCAACTGGGATAAGAAAGTCAACACAGGCCCTTTGTCTCTTCAGCCAAGGGAACTTTATAGTGCTGCCTATCGCCCACGTGGGAATTCCACCCCCCAATTCCACTCCCTAACCGCAATGAAATCCTAAGGTATCCCCACCCTTTCAACCCCACCCTTGGCTTGACTTTTTATCAAACCTCTGTTTGAGCCCCTCCCCTTCTGAGAATTCCCAGCTTATTGTGAGTTCTGAATACTTTCTATTCATATTCAGTGTTGAGTGCATTGTGTCATCTGTCTGGACATCCAAATAAATTCCTGGGTAGGCAATCATGCTCACCTCTGGATAGACTGATCAAAACAATCATGCTGTATAATTCCTCTTTAGTGGTGCTCAAGCTTTTTTCTAACCAAGTGCATCCAAAGGAACACTTCAATTAATAATCATAGCCCTCAATAACAAGATTCCCAGAGAGCAGAGAGAATAAGGGGAGTTCTTAACGTGAAGAACTGGTACGAATTTCTTCCCTTCTAGATGACTCTTTCATGTCTTTGAAGAATTCACCATGAATTCCTGCAGAATGGTCAATGGTATCAGAAATCCTCTGGGTATATTCCTAAAAGAAAAAAAAAAGCTAAAAATGTTTTGTATATTATAATCTAAAAAAAAAAATCAATGTCTGCAAAAATGAGACTAAATATAAACAGAGATTACTTGTGTCTTACTGGAATTATAGCTAATTTTTAATGTGAATTTTCTAGATTTTCTATATAACATTGTATTTTAGCATTTTTTAACAGCTTTATTGAGATATAATTCACACAACGTACAATTCACCCATTTGAAAGTGTATAAAAATGTGGGTTTTTTGGTATATTTACAGGGTAGTGCAATCATCACAATCAATTTTAGGACTTTCTTGCCTGCCTCCCCAGAAAGGAACTCTGTCCCATTAGCAGTCAATTTTCACTCTTCTCCTATCCCTGTCCAAACCCTAAGCAGCCACTAATCTACTTTCTGTCCCCAGAATTTCTTTCTGGACATTTCAAATATAATAAGTGGCTTTTGTGTCTGGCTACTTTCAGGTAGCATAATGTTTTCAAGGTTCATTCACGTTGTAGCACGTGTCAGTGCTTCATTCCTTTTGATTGTAAATAATATTCCATCGTATGGATATTTTACATCTTATTTGTCCATTTTTCAGTTGTTAGAAATTTGTTATTCCCAATTTTTTGGTTATTACAAATAATACTCTTATGAGCATTAATATACAAGTTTTTGCACTGATGTATGTTTTCATTTTTCTTGGGTATAGTCCTAGGAGTGGAATAAAAAATTGGAACCCTCATATATAGCTGGTGGGAATTTAAAATAGTACAGCCACTTTGAAAAACAGTTTGGCAGTTCCTTAAAAAGTTGATAAAATTTTATTAATACTACTAAAAATATTAAAATGTTGCATTATCATGTAATATTATTTAAATAAATATTTTAAATTATATAGAAACAAAATTTCTATATTTTCAAAGCTGGATAATGAAAATTTACGTTTTTAAATACATTCATCTATCTAATCTCTATCTATCGTCTATTATCTACCTATTTCTCTATTTAGATGCTATTCTCTGGTATCCTTTATCTTTTTCTCTAAGTTCTAGCCTTAGACTGAGTTAGACAAGCAAAAATCTTATATGAGATTATATTTAGCGTTGTGCAAGGTTGCCTCCTATAGGTGGCCTTTTAATGTATTATCCTTAGTTTTTATTAAAAAATCCCAGTAATCTGCCATTTGAAACATATTACTATATAATGTATTGAAATGCTGAGAACTCATGTCCCAGGTTGCTCATATTGCTGTCTCTAAATATATTAGTCTGCTAGGGTTGCCATAACAGAAGACCACAGACTGAGTGGCTTAAACAACCGAAATTCATTTTCTCACAATCCTGAGGCTGAAAGTCCTAGATCAAGGTGCTGGCAGAGTTGGTTTCTGATCAGGACTCTCTTCCTGGCTCACAGATGGCTGCCTTCCCTCTGGGTCCTCACATGGTCTTTCTCCTGTGTGCACACACTCCTGGTACCTCTTCGTCTTCTATAAGTGTACTGGTCCTATTGGATTAGGGTTTCATCATTATGACCTCATTTAATCTTAATTATTCCTTTAAAGGCCCTATCTCTAAATCACATTGGGAGTTAGGGCTTCAACATATGGAATTTGAGGGGGTGTGATTCAGTCCATAACACTAAGTTATCTTGCTTTTGCTTTTAGATCTTAAGTATCATAATGCAGCTTTGATCACCTAAAGAAGGATGTAGTTCTGCTCTGTGATAGTCAGAGCTATACTACTTTTTTGCTTTTGTTGTCAGTAAACATAGAGTCTAACTTAAGGGTCAATGATCACAAATATGCAGAATGTATAACGTAAGTGCATGGATTTGGTTGGTTCTCTGCCACTCTTTTTCCCTCCTCCTTCTCATCTTGTCAACTCTACCCAGTCATGACTATCTACTTTCAGTCTTTCATTTATATTTCCCTCTATTTTTTATTCTTGCTTCTTACTTGTTTTCGCCAACATTTTATTATTCATGTTCTGCTCGTCAGGTACCTCAAGTCTTTTCTGAAACAAGGCAAAAATACATAAGGACAAAACCAAAATGAGTGGTCAATATAGTCAGAGAACTTGAATCATTTCAGAAACACGACCTAAGCCTATTATACATATACAAGCCGTGTAACTATACCTGTAATTCTACTTTACTGTTTTCACTCTTTCTCAGTTTTTTACTTTCCTTTTGAATCCCCCTATTAAGCAGAAAGTTAAAAGGCTTTTGAGGGAATACATTTCCATTCATTATAGCAAAAACATGTTGGGAGACTTTTATATGCAAGTATCAAAAGGATCACACTAGTGCTAACAAGAAAGAATTGCATTACAATGTCATTTTTCAGTACCTACATGTTCTTTTCCTAAAAGAACTGAGAGTACTTTTGGAAGAAGGAAGCAAAAACAGAGAGACCCCTCTCATTCTTTGCATACCTTATTCATATTTACCACTGTGCTGAGAGGTTTCCCAAATCCTGAAGGAAGAGTATTATGCCAAGAATTGAAAAGTCTCTTTCTTTTAACTTCATTAAATATCTTCCAAAGGTATATAGGGCAGTAATGGAAAGAGAAAAAGAACACAGATAAAAATTGAGACCCTCCTAATGGAATTTAAAGCTTGATAATAT